CTTTTGTCACATGTGTTTGCTTTGTTTGTTCTGCCATCCTCCAGGTCTATACACAACCTTTCCTTTCGACGGTTTCTGCAAATCGTCAGTATTGCGAATATGAACACGGAATAAAAGACATCAAAAAAGGTCGAACTTACTTTTATATCGTTTTTGGAACTGCCTATTGGAGGCAGGATACAGCATCGTGATGTGAGAAATGGTGATATCAGTACGACTCCCTTCCCAGAACTTTGTTTTGTTGTTTGTTGAGTTGAGTTGAACATGAACGAACATGACCCCCTCCCGCAGTAATTTCACCCACAGTAGCGCGATCGATCGCGCGATCCAAGCGATCCGATCGCGCGATCGCGAAGTCTGAACGCGCTCTAACGGAGACTAGTTGTTGTTCTCCTAAACTCAACAGTGAGAGCTCTCTAAAACTGAGGGAGTCAAACTTGCATGAGCTGTTGCCTAAAAAGATTCTGTCATCAGATGACCACTCTACAATTTCCTCACCATTTTTACTACATTTTGATATTACACATTACATTTTCATCAGCTATTGATGTGTTTTGAAACTAGTCAGGTGAAGTCATAGTTGCACATTAAGGGCGAGCGTGTCACGTTGTTATCGTACGAAGTTGTAGACTACGCAGTTGAATTCAGTTGTGCGTTTTCTGGGTTTCGGGAACTCCCGGTAAAGCGGCGAACCTAATTTATCCATTTATTGGTCAACTACATCGATTGTATCTAGTGAGTTCACTTATTGGTAGAATCTCCTCTGAGAGTTTGTTCCGCTCTGTCACGATAAATCAGTGGACACGATAAATCCTCCAAGAAGAGCAGGACTAATACACCTGGCACGACGGAATTCCGAAACCCTGAGCAGGCGCTGCATAATGCCTTTTCAGGGAAGAAGCCCTTATAAAGGCGGTATCATGCCACAACTTTATTGCCCGCCCACAAATGGACGACTGTTCCAGACGCTCTAATTGATTCATTTGCTAAGCAAATTATGAAGCGAAGGGATTGGTATGAAGCGGCCGTGATGCTGCATGCATATATGGGTACACATATGCAGCCGTATCTTCGGTAGCGGTGATTGGCAAGATGCCTACGGGAAACTCGTCCGAAATCGATTTACAAGTCAGTGAGGATAGGCCGAGCACCCACTACTATTGAAACTATTACTACTATTGAAAAAAAGGTGAGTTTCTATCTCTGGTCCTCTGTTTCTCTCCTGATAACAGGGTTCCGTTTTCTCTCTAATGAATTCATCAAATTAAGTAGGATTTCTTAAATCATTTTTACTGCATTTTTTCAG